ATCAAACCGAGGCGATAGCAAAACCAGCCACCGCAGCCATTTCATTGAGTGACCAGATAGCTGACTGGTCGCTGGGTCACGTCTGCTCCTGCTCTGGTCTGCAGCACGCTTCATGCTCCGCGGTCTGAACACCATTTGCGGCTCATAATTCCAAGTGGGTGGGGGGGGGGGGGGGGGGGGGGGGGGGGGGGTATAGGGCTGGGCCTGGAGCCAGTAAATTGCATTACCAAAATAATAAATCAATAACAATTTGATGGAGCTAAATGGGATTACTGGCAGGCGAGACCTGCGATTGGGCGGGTTTTGTGTCTATGTCTGCGCCCAGTGTCTGCGCTCTTTTATGACATAATTTAATTCATTTCTTTAAAATCATTTCCAACGAAATAAAATACAAAACGTAAGCAGATAAATAAATAAACGTATATTCAGCTTCAAATTGATTTTATTTAGCCGCCTGCTGCCTGCATGAAAAATTCAACTGATTTTTATCTTCAGTGCCAACAAAGAAAGTCAACAGAACAGATTCGGGAGCGTTTTACCCGCGGATGCAAATAATGCCAAAAGAAATTAAGTGGTGGACTGGAGCGAATGGCAGCAGCAATTGCCGCATCAAGAGAGGCACACACTTGTGCCAGGAGGATATTCCCAAAGTTAATTTCTCGCATATATCAGCAGGAAAGGTTTCATTCAATGAAAAATTTGATTCTATATTTATGCAAAAATATCTTTGCATATTCTGGCACCTCTTTGGATTGTCTTCTCCCATACATAAATACTTTAAAAATACTTCCCTTGGCAATTTCTTAACAAAAGTTTTCAGTCGTGAAAGAATATTCATTTCCAATTGGTTTTGTAAAAGTTTTCCTTCAAAGAGATTGCCAGAACACCTTTTGGGGAACTTTCAAACCAATTGTCGAAGCAACCAAAAAAAACCAATGAAACTGAAGGATGGCAAAGCTGCTGCTGCTGCTGCTGCTGGTGCTACTATTTCGGGTTCTGTTAATTTTATTTGCATGTTTTTATGCCTTATTTTTATTCATTTCTTTTGGCTGCGCTGCTCTGGCGCTGTATCTACTTTGCGTTCTTTTTCTGCGGTTGGTTGCCATACATTTTTAACATCGTTGAATGGCAGCAGTGCCGTGCAGCACGTGATTGAAGCCTGATAAGCCAAACACACGTACAGCGACAGACGACAGACAGACAGTCACATTTTTTTACTTACGAGCATATTCGATTGACAGACCCGCCTCTTAGACTACTCGAACCCAGAAGCGATTCAATGGAATCCTCAGACACGGAGGCAGATATGCTTCCACTTATATATGTACATATGCATGGGCATAAATATCAAATAAATTTCGCTTTATACTCGTACATGGCCTTGGGTGGGTTCCTGTGTGTGTGTGGTGTGTGTGTGTGTGGTGTGTGTGTGTGTGTGTGTGTTTGCAATAGGCAATGTGAGGAAATTTTGATTTTTCGCTCGAGTTGGCACGGCGACGAGCGGGTTTAGTTTTGTGTCTGACTTACAGCGAAATCAAATTAACTTGTGCACACTTTTAGGCGCATAAAAGGAAAGGAAAGAAGGCACCAGACACCGAAAGAACGATGGAGACCCAGCGTCAAAATGCTGCGACGTGACTGCCCTTCCTTCCTCCCTGTCCCTTCCCTTCACGACACTTTCCAGCAATGCAAATGGTGAACGGAAGTCGTCTGTCGCTTGTCTGTGTGTGTCTGTGTGTGTGTACATTTATTCACTGATGTTCTTTATGAAAGGCAATTTAAAACATTCTGTCATTAAGTCGACAAATTTTTAGAACGTTGCCAACATTCGGAGCCCGAGGTAATTACAAAATGAAGTGCACGTGAGACACGAAAAGAAAGCCAAATAAAAGAGTGAGCCATAAAACGAATATAAAAAAGGAACGTAGGCGGGGAAGGAAGAAGGTTAGCCTGGTTGGATGTGGAATGAAAACAGACGTCCAAATGAATTTTTGTTTTACTTTATATTGCAGCCGAGAGCAGGATTTCGAATATGTTTTGAATTGCTTGATATATTTTAATGACCGCAACGGTAGATGTGTTGCCTGATGAGCTGTGGCTTATAAAGGTACAGAAATAAATACATAAACATAAACATATGTACATAGTATGTACATAAGTATGTACGTAAAGGAAGAAATGTAAAAAGCTTATTGCATAAGGCAGAACATATATTTTATCATTTAACTCTTGTACCCTTAATTCCTACAATAACCACAAAATAATCTGTAAAATATCAAAAGAGATTCGTTTAGAGCAAAGTCAATAGATTTATGTAAAAGAAATAACAATTCGTTATCCCTTTTCGGGTGTTAAGGGAATTTCTGTTGCTGTGACTCCACTCTGCGCACACAAAAACCAAACAAAACTTCAATAAATGTCGGAAATAATTGTTCCAAAGCTGTTTTTAATTATTGTCGCAGCATAGCAGCGCCCACACACAGTTTATGGGCCTTCGAAATGTGAACTGAAAGCGGCAGACATTAAGGAAAATAACACGCAACTATTAACAGCTAAATGCCAGGCACATGGAGGCATAAATCAAAAAATAGCTTCATAAAATATTTATGCCCCTCAACACATGCACAAAGTGGGTCGGGAGGAGCAGACACCCCAGTCATAGTGTTAAATAAAAATGGGTGCCCATTTGTAGGCAACGGAAGCGGAAATGCTTAACAATTGAGAGCACAACAGGAAATGGCAGAGCGAGAAATATAAAGAGAAAAGCTGGGAAAAGCTCGGCAACTGGTTGTTCATTCAGGGATGTAGAAAAATGTCGGAAAAACTGAAATAAACTGCCAGACACTGACAGCCGCCGATAAAGGATAACGGGGAAGGGGTTGCCTCCATTACATACACCGAAAATGTTCGCAAACAAATTAAAAATTAGTCATAAAAAAATAATCATACGGCGGCGGCTTGTGCCTGAGCAAACAAACAAGCGACATTAAATTGATAAGAGTCGGTGGGGGGGCCAGAAGGGCAGAGGCTCAATAAAGCACCGAGCGAATAATGGTGGAGCATGTGAGCCGGGCCCACGACGACGATAAAGACGGCCTCAAGAGCAGACTCGAACACTTGAGTGCCAGTTGAGGCAGACAGCCACGGCAAAGGCACAACATTTTTTTGTACGTATTAAAAGCAACTTCCAAGTCATTAACCCGTTTATGACGCCTAACTTGGCCCGGACAGGCCATCGCCACTTGGCCACAATAAAGCGCCAATAAAAGGCCTTGCACGCAAAATATACACACAGAGACCCTCACACATGGCAGTACATGTGTTGGTTCTTTGCGGATCTTGGCCAACTTTAAGCGCTTAACGGCTCATTTATTGCAGAACGAAGCCTCAAATATTTGTTGGGGAGTAGGAAGGAAGATCTAGAAAGGCATAAAATGTTATTAAATACGCGACTCAGCCTTAGCCACAGAATGGCCGGGGCACGCGCCCATTATGTGTTTAATCTTTGACCGGACAGGCCTCCCCACAAACACACAAACACAAACTCACATAAATACAAACAGGGAAACCCGCACAATGACAGCAGAGATGGGGAGAAAGGAGAACAGCAGACAGGAACTGGCAGTGGAATCAAAGGGGAAGGGCCATGCATGACGTACGGAAACGGTTGCATCAATGTCGTTTGGCCATTTTATGCCAGATCGTTTCGCATAAACACGAACCAACAGACTGCATATAAATAAATACAAGTGTGAAAAGAGCCAAAGAGAGAGAGAGAGCAACATAGGAAGAGAGCTAATGAGACAGAGAGACAGGGAGGGAGGGAGATGCTCTAATGGAGAGAAGATGCTCCGAGTATGGCAGTGAATATATCATGGGCTGCCTGCAAATTAACAGGGGAAAGAAAGAGCGAAGTGAGAAATGCCCTAACACATGTGAGCAGCAATAGGAAGAGAGCTGAGGCTGGAAAATAAGTAGGAAATAGCTAAAAATTTAAAGAGTTAAGCCAGAAAAGAGGGACACATGAACAGAGGGGCATATCAAAGAGGCATATACAAAATGTATTAAGTACACGTTAATTGTGTGCTAGCTTTGATGTCTGTCTGGCTATGATCACAGACACACAATCAAAAGAAATTAGACTCTCTGATGTCTCTCAATGTCATACAAATCTTTATTTTGCCAGCAGCAATGCCAATTCCTGTAGATCCTCTCTCACAGCATAGTGTATACAAAGGAATTTACGGTTGATGTGGCTTGTCTGTTTATGGCAACGGCAGCAGCAACCGAGCAACTTTGGCTGTGCGACTGTGGAATTGCGGCTGGCCCCCCGCTGCTGTTGTTTGGGGGGGTAGCGGGCAGACGCTGCCACGCGCCTCTACTCACCAAAAGCGGCTTTGGTTTTGTTATCCACACTTGCACACACACACCCACACTTGGAGTGTGCCACATTATGCTAATATTAGCCCGGGATAGTGCTAGTGGGTTAAGGACATTTTTATGCACGCGTATGCCCCCCACGCACATCGGGCAACGACAACGGCATCGACATTCGAGAGTCGTCCACCAGCTGGCTGTATTGGCTGTTTGTTTGCATGTGTTCGTGCATGTTAAATGGGCGTAATGCCACTATTATTGGACACATTACAAACAAAATGAGAATGGGACACCCACAACACGGTCCGCCTTCTCTTCATCGTTGTCCCCAGTGTAAAGCATTGTCTGGCCTTAAAGCTCTCTTGGCCCAATGGAGAGAATATATTGCAGTTGGCATTAAACTTGCATCAGAGACTGCAATTTCGAGTAAATCGATTTTCAGAGAGTGTCCCAAGGCGAACTCCACGCGAACTCCACTCCATTGATGGGGAATTTCCATTTAATGTAAGATAATCCACATAATGGATGGGGGCTGCTTCCACCTTAAGGCACTCAAAATCTCTCTCAAATGAGCAGCCACAAGAACCCATTTGGATCTATTCAAGCATCAGTTACCTGTTCGCTATCATTACCCGATATATCGGGCATCGATTTTTATGTCCCAAAGTAATTTCCTCAAAATTTTGCCGAAAATCAACAGAGCAAGGCCAAAGCCATTGACATCTTTTCAAGCACATCCCCATCATCATCATCATCATTGGGTGGTTGAAAAGCGAAAACATTTCCACAACAGAAACTTGGGAATAAGTGAGAACTGGGCAAACTAGTGATAGAAAAAATAGTTTGCCAAAAGAGAGAGAGCTTCGATTTTGCAGTACAAACGTGTGGGTGGGCAGAGCAATGGCTGCTGAGGTGTTTTATCGATTGGCACTAACCACAAATACATTTTACCAGAAGAATAAAGTACAAGGATGGAACCTTTACGCTTGACAGCCATGAAGAAATGAATGTGCCCAGTGGAACCAGCCGCAGGAGGAGGAGCAGCGAGGCTTAGCCCCACTTTGTGTCACATTATGGAGACATCAAGCACACAGACGGGACTCGTACGTATACGAAATAGCAACAGCGATTAAAGTGAAAAAATACTGCCCTTAGGGGACCCACTGGGAGTGGCAAAGGCACACAGAAATTTCGAACTTGAATCCAAAAAAATATCGCGATATTAGTAACTACAAAACAACAGACAAAAACACGTAGAAGAGGAGCTTGAAACGTCGGGAGAAGTGGGAGTAGAAAATTAGAATATAAGTACAAATCATAATTTTAAGGCAGAAATCTCTAGAGATGAGCTTTCAGCACCGCCACTGGCTACTGTCTGGCCACGTTTTGAGGCTCCTCCCCCTTGGGCTCCCTTTTTTCGGCAGGTATAATCCCTCAAAGCGAAAACACACAACTCAAGCATTTTGGACGCTTCTTTTGAAACTTCACTTTGGCTTTATATGTATGGCAGGCGCTGTATGTTTTATGCTGTATGTATCGACGTGTGTGTGTGTGTGTGTGTGTGTGTGTGCAAGACGAGCCAACATTTTATGCGCTTCGTCGCTTTTCGTCTACTCCAAAATGATTTGCCTTTAGCCAGGAGACCCCAGACCCCGGCCCATCCACTTTGCCTCAAGTTCAATTTATTTTGCGCATAAAAAATATAAGCATTTCTTTGCCAGGCTTTTCCTTCCACTTGTGTCCATGCCATGGGTTCTCTGTGGCTGTGTGTGTCTGGAAATTCAGGAAATTTGCCTATTCAACTAAAGCAAAAGATAGAGATGAGCGGCAGACAGATGAGATTTGACGTTTATAAGGCTGCTTACTCCTGGAATTTATGGGGACGGGGTTCTAAATTTATAAATTTATTTGAGCTCAGAAATAAAGGAAATTGTTCAAAATAAATAACTCTATAATTAGAAATTGGCGAGCCCTTGGGGGCTTGAATACATTATTAATGTTCTGTAGAAGCTGCAGCATGCTGAGTGTGTGATAAATAAGTGCCTGTGGCAAGCCCATACAGATCATCTTGGATGATCCCCAGCAATGTGTAGATATTCCTTGAATCACGACCACGACAAAGCACCCAAAACAGGAACGCATCTCTAACTCGTGTTTCCCTTGCCCCCAACCTCTTGGCTCAACGATTGCATGCAACATGAGAAATTGCTTATAAATCATGAGCAACGCCGGCCTCCGCCTACCCCGGGCCTGCCATGCGAATGCATGTTTGCTGATTTACCGCTTCGGTTTTTTGTTGCCATCAAAATGTTCATATTATACGAGCACACACATACATACGAAAAGCCGCACAGGCATAAGTAAACCTCTAAACATTGTTGCTGCCACATATGTAGATATTTATGGAGCTGGGGAAATGCTTTATTAAATAAAATGCTACCTGCTGGCAAAATGAGGCGGCGGGGGGCAACTATTTGGGCTAAGAAAATTTGTCAACGCGTCGTCAACATTCAACTGACATGCCAAGTAATTTGCTGCTAAGCAACACCAATACACAAGAGGCGGGGCTACCCATAGCACTGAAACAGACGACCAGAAATACAACCAGTCGAGCCACCCAAGCAGCCACTCTACACAGTCGAGCCACCCACTCCAGCCACCCAACCAGCTACTCCACCCACTCCGCACTCCGACCACCCGCAGCGTAAAGGTTTTTCGGCTGTTTGACAATTCGCAAAGTGCACAGGGAGAACACAGTGCCCCAGGCTGGTTGTATTTGCTTGAAGTTGACTAAAACAGGCGCTTTAGGTACAAGTATATGGAAGAGGCTTCAAAAGAGGTTTGCTAGCGCATTTATTAGAATTATTTAAAGAGAAATCATGGGTAGGAATAGCTTATAAAAGTAAACCCAAACTCCGCTATCTAATTCGATCTCACTCAGAATTTGTGGCCCTCATGTAGCGATCGCTACTATAGAAAGTTCAGTGGGAAAAACTCTTAATAATATTTTCTAGATATTTCTTTTTATATACTTTTCCAGTCCCTTGCATTATACAATTTCCTATAAAATGATGTGTAAAACGGCTATCACTGAGCCTGTTAGGGTATTATCAACTTCTATCCACCAAAGTATTTCTATTCGTTTGTTTTCTTTTTTGTAAGCTTCAACTTTTTGTTGAACACATGTCAGGGCATTTAAGATTTATATATTTCTCTTTTTTCTGCTGGACCGTGTCCATGGGCAAAATTGTTGAGCTGCCTGCTGCCATCCATGCGGCATTTTGCATGCATTTTTGATGGGCCTGGACATTGGGTGCCGTGTGCCGGCAATGCTTTTTTAACGCGCTTTCATGGTTAGCTGCATTCAAGTGGGGTTCTTGGTACGCTCTCCTTTATATACCCGCTTTTTCCCTCTGTAGTTTTTTAGCGTTTTAATTGTCAGGCTGTGGCGGTGGCCGTGGCAGCCGGCGGTGGTTGCTCTCTGGGAATTGGTGGCAATTGAATGCGATTTCGCCTGTGTCCCTCCAATGGGAATTTAAGAATTTTCAAGGAATTAGCTAACCAAGCTGGAGAGCACCTAATACGCCAATAGAGATTTATCTGAGGGGAAAACTAACAAGAATTGAAACTGAAATCGGCTTAAAGTTGACTTTGGAAGGCGCTCAAAATCTGATTCATATGTGGCTCAAATGTGAGTTGAAAATACGTTAAGGGGTTGCCTAAAAGGGGACTCAAAGCTGCTGGAATTGAACTTTAAAAGGAATACATAATGCAAGGCTTAAAGTTGAATTTCAAATCACGCAGAAACTTTCGTTAACATCAAACCAAAATGCCAATTTTCCATGTTTTATGAGAAATAAACAAATGTGTTGTGTGTTATGTATATCATGTGATAACTTGCCCTTAAGCTGCACCCAAGCCAATTATCCGCCCACTAGACTTTTATGTGAATCACAGTCCAATCACAACTTTTGCAGCCAACAAATCCTGCAAATGCAACATTCCAACGCACATTCCTGCACAAATCCGACGGGGCTAAGCAGGCACGGCGCAGAAAACTCTTTAAAAACAAACAATGGGAAAATGGAAAAAAACTAAAAAATGAAAAACTAAAAACGTAAACGAAAAACGAAAAAAGAAGCAGACTAGCAGCGACCTTACCATTGTTACCTTGGCCGTTTGGCATGCCAGCGCGTGGCGTGGCAAGGCAAGGCAAGGCAAGGCAAGGCGTGGCACAGCACCAACGTGAGGCAACGTACGACACTGCGTATGAATGATGCGGGCACTTTTAAATTATGCAAGAGTATTTTCTGCTCACTGGCAGCTGGGCGCACACACACACAGCCATACACGGGGACTCATGTGAGCAAGTGAATTTTCCACACAATAAAATTGTTCACACTTTTTATGCAGAGAGACGGCAGGATGGAGAGAAGAGATGATGACATGGAGACGAAACAAAGAACTTCAGTGCCATATAAAATAAATTAGAAAACTGGCAAAATTCTAAATTCAAGCCATTCATTAAAGCCCGGCTAGGGCCGGGGCCTTGATAAATTATGAAAATGCAGCTAACGAGGCGTGTGGAACCTTGACATTTGCCCGAGTCCAAATTCAACACTCGGCTGCCCTCTGTTGGCACACGGACCATAGCCAGCCACATTGACATTCCACATCCACATCATCATCACGGAGCAGTTTCTTAGTTCTCCCTGGAGTGCATATTAAAAATGTGCAAGAAATTTGATGGGTTCAGTGTTTCACTCAGTGGAAGAGTGCGGAATGCCATTCGCCGGAAAGGATAACTTGAAGTTGTCTTTAAGTTGTCCATTCCCCCTCGATGGAGCTGCAAAAGTATGCGACGATAAATGACAAAGCTAATGCGCTTTCAACGTTCTGGCAAAAATGCACCACGGAAAATGTCTTGGAGGCAGCATTAGGATGCCTCTGTCGCTGCCACAGCCATTGGGATGCCACTCAAGGCATTTTGCCTGCTGCCAGCGGCAACTCGTGCCATAAATGTCTGCACATTGTTGCAGGTGCAGCAGCGGGTTGGAGGAATGGGCAGCTGGGCACACCCCTCAGGCGCGTTGCAGCTTGAGCTTGACATTTGCCTGACAATCAGGCGACACATTTTCCCACTCTGACTGCCACTCTCTGTCTCACTCACTCTCTCGCTCTCTCTCTCTCTGCTCCACACTGGATTTTTCTGCTGCTTTGATTTTGAATAGCTCACTTACTTAATAAACGTAGCACAGTGCTCGGCGACGTTTTTCCCCTTACTCTGTTTGTCAGGAGTTTGTCTCCTGCTCTGAGACTCACTTTTAATGCTGTGTAAATTCAAGTTTGCATTTCAAGGCTTCTTTGCCAGCTCATCCTGGGGTGTCGCTTAGATAAGATCATTACACATGGCACACAATAATTCACTGAAAGCGTAGGAGTGCCATCAAAAGTAAGTGCCAAGGCCTGGGGAATTTCAGCTGGGAGCGAGCATTCGTGGCGTTGATTACCTTTCCTTTAAATTAATTTTATTTATTTATTCATTTACCAGAAATTTGAAAATTCAATGCAATTAACAGCTTAATTCTTTATCGTTTAATATTTTTAAATTCCACAAATACATTGTTAATTTTTACCCCCACATAAGCAACACTCTGTCGGTGTATCGTATAGCCCCCAGGTATGCCTCAGATCTTTGAACACGCACACACTTGGCCCTACACAAATCCACCTTGAGGCAACAATCAGAACCCCAGGACTGCCGGAATGAAGTTGGCAGCTAAATTTATTTATTGACTCACTTACTTGGCAAAGAAGCTCTCACACTCCCTCGAAGGATGTGTGCGTTTGAAATTTATGTGAGTTTTACCATCCTTGGCTCTTTTGCTTGGCTCTTTTACTCTTCATCACTCGACGGCAATTGAATTAAATTTCAATTAATGAAATATGTTTGTGGCTTTAAGTCAGATTTTATTTAGTATTTTTTGTTGCTGTTTTTCAGTGTTTGCTTTACCCTTGAAGGCGACGAAAGGACCGCACAGTCAGCGTCCTTTCTTTGCTATTATTTTTATTTTTTATATACCAATCGACTGCGGGGACTGTGGGTATTGTCTTTATTATTGCTGCTGCTGCTGTTGCTTCTTAGATGATGGTTGGGGTGGGAGGGGTGGGGAAATACCAATTTGGTTGGTCATAAATTTTAGCGAGACGGCGGCACAAATGAAAAGCACAGCGTAAAGGAAAATATTTAAATTTTCTCGCTCGCTCTTTTTCTTTCTGCAGCCCTTTTTTTTTGTTTTAGCTTGTTTTGGCTCTGAGGGGAGTCCTGTGGAAAAAATCTGCTTAAATGTACTTCCGTCATAAAATAACGGTAATGCACAGAGAAAGAGAAAGAGAAAGAGAGAGCAATGCTCCTCCGTGTGTTGGTGTGTGCCTCACGTAGCAAGAAAAACCTTTTTATAAATGTTGGTTCGCAGCTTCCGCAAAATAATAAAACAAAGCGCGCCACAACACTCACACACACACACACACACACACAGTGAGAGAGGGAGTGAGTGAGAGCGCGGCTGGCAGCTGCCAGGACATCGCCCGGACCTGTGCGAAAGGCAACCCGGCAAAGAATGCTTTTAAATTTTGACACACACCCACAGCAACACTCACACACGCAACCACTTGGTGGGGCAACAGCAAAAATACACCAAAACATTAATAAATATGTGCAGCGCAGCTCCGCCTTCAACGCACACAACGAGCAGACGTCACCGACCCATGAAGCCACTGCCCCGCCCACGCCCCGCGCACTTTGTTTATTTTAATTTTTTCTGTAGTCCTTTTTTTTTTAATTTTTTTGTTTGTTTTTGTTGGATTTTTATGGCCCCAAAAACTCTGTGCGGCGACATTTGTTTGAAGTTTGTTTTGCATATGCTTTATTTCAGTTTCATTTTTATTTTTGGGACACTGGCAACATTGGATAGAGTGGCTGATTTGGCAAAAATTCTGCTCAATGGGAAATGCTATACAAGTCTATTTTTGCCAATAGAGCTGTAAAGGCATTCCGATTGAACGGGATACAAATTTTAGCCAAAAATAGTCGAAAATCGAACATTTGCTGTATTTAAAGAGATTCTAATGAAAAGATTGAACTAAAAGGGAAATTGGATTAAATTAAATTCAAATAAAATAAATAAATGGAAAATAAAATATAGAAAGCACTTCAAATAGTTTTATAATATATTAATGGTCTACCCTGAAGTAACGCTCAGTCTATCCTCATTGGAACTACTCTACCTAAATATTTTAAAACCCAATTAAATCAATCACTCTGCCTGCTAACTCCAATGTTTTTGTTCTACCATTAACAGTCTGTGTAAAAGTTGTATAGCCACACAATCTCTACTAATATTCAATCAGTGCACACACACGTACTATCTGATTCATTGATTTATGCTTTACAAAACACATTCATATCGGAAAACCAAAAACCAATTAAATTTAGCCACTGAAAACATAACAGAATTATCAGCAACAAACTCCCTGAACCACAAACAAAAGATACTCTGCAAACACATTTAATTCGATTGCTGTGAAAATTTAAACGTAAATAAAAATGATCATGAAAATGACCATTAAAAAGTTGCAATAATTGAAATGAAAGCAATTGAAAATGAAGTTCGATAAGAGTTTAATTGATAAATGCGTGGCATATACATATATATTACAATTAATCCATCTCTTACCTTGGAAAAGCTTTACTTTAAGCTGGAGCTTAAACTCCTTTGAGAGGTCTCTTGCTGAGCCCTTGGACACTCAACTTCCTGCCTATGGCTATGCCTCTGCCACTGCCTGTGCCCCTGCTATTTGTTTTTATATATGTATCTTGTTTTTGGGTTATTTTCCTCTGCGATCCACCCACAACACACGTCAATTAACCTACTTTCGAGTTAGCAGGGGGCCAGTAGGCTAAAACAAAACATAATAATGGCAGCAACAGAAAGCCAGCTCCAGAGCCTGAGCCACCTTCTAACGATTGACCCAAGTTAATTTTGCTTACAATTTGTTTTGGTGTTTTTTTGCTGATTTTTTTTCTGCCTTTCGATTACTCTAAGTATTTCCGGCAACACACACGCACGCGGAACACTTTAGCCGGCTTTTTAGACTACTTGCGCCAAAAATCCAATCAGCCGTAGCAGCGGACCAACAGGCAGGACTCTGGGGACCACCAAAATATCACGCATACGCCACTTGTGCCGACCAGAACGCACGAGTGGCAAACACGAACTGACACTGTGGCCAGAAGTGCAACCAAATCGGAGTCCGCTGTGTGTATGGCAACTGCGCATGCGTCACTTTTAGTCAATGAAAAGCTTCGTGCCACACACAACATTTGCCGCCAAGTCGAGTCCGAAAGTTGCCTTCGTTCTTCTGGCAGCTGACGCTTTTTCGGAGTCGCGTCTGTTGCGCTGCTGTGCAAGTGGCATGTGGCAATATGATTTATATCAGTGTGGGAAGTCAGATTTTCGATCTCATAAAATTCGAATGCCTAAAGCCAAGAATAAGCCCAGTTTTGGCTGACGTCTAGTAACCGAAAACCCCAAGATCGGGCTACCATATAATATGGAAACACTCAATCGGAAGATTCAAATATAATACAATAAAAGTTCGCTGCAAAAGTTGACCAAAATTTCCAATAAAGCACCGATAGGAACGATTAATCACAATTGCCTATTCCCTATTGTTTTTGGGTTATTGTTGTTCTGTTCCTGTGGTTGTTGTGCCCCCCCTCCTCTTGTTGGCGTTGTCAGCGGCAACATAATCATCGGCGCGTGTTGCTCACTTTTGGAGGCAGACGACAGCCGAGCCACCGACACAGACAGAGACACAATCGCAGACACACGGACAAATCCGGAGCACAATTCGGGCAACGTCATGTCAACGAGACAGTCGAGACAAATGCCACAGATCCAACCTACCCCGGCCACCCGCTGCTACCCCCCCTTGCCCTTCCACCCACTCTGCAGAGGAAAAGGCCCAACCATTGCCTATTGTCTTGGGGGCTTAACTTTCTTTCATTTCTGTGTTTCCCTTTTGCTTTTCTTTTTTGTGTGTTTAATTTCTTTCGCCAACAAGCGTTTGAGAGGGGCTGGTAAAAGGACTTTTGTTCCTGCTCCTTGTTATCCTTTCAATTGTCATTTGCTTGTTGCGTCGCCTCCACTCGATTGGTTCTCGTGTCCGGTCTGTGTCCCTCTGCTGGGGGCGCTCCATGGCCAAAGCCTCTTGTAATCGCAAGTTAATTTGATACATTGATGTCGGTTCTGGGCAACAAAATCTTCGAAATTAAATTGATTTCGCTGCTGTTGGTGCTAAGCGTTTAGAATTTGCTCCTGCTGGGATATTTAATTTGATTTTAATTTCAATTTTGAGACAGTTTTGCCGTAGTAATTGGCAGGGTCTTCCCTCTACATCCAACAACGAATTAAAAGAGAAATGTCCATGAAATTGTGTGGCAGGAACTCCCCCCAAGTGAACTGTTTTGACCTTCCTTCCCTGCAATGAGCTCAAGCCACACGTAACTGGTCAGGTAAAGCCCTTGTAATCGCCTGTTAACTTGACATGACGATGCTTAACTGATTTATATGTCTCACGCCTAAGTCCCAGCCATGGATAGACATGATGGATGGCTCAATCGATGGGCTGATAGATAAATAGATAGACGAATGGTTGGAATGGAGAATGCCGCTCAGCCAACAGCTAAATTAAAGAGAAGGCCAAAAGGAAATGGGGGATTGGTATTGTATTTTTTTACATTTTTAGCAAATTAAATTGCTTAGTGGAGCATTTGAATGTAATTTATTCAAGGCGGCTTAGCCCTTAGACTGCAGCCTAACATTTTCGGTCTATTTGCACGCTCCCACTGACTGCACTCTGTACTCTGCAGCTGCAACTGCATCTTTACTTAGCCAAATTGCTTGCAGAAATCCTCCCCCTGGAACTGGAACTGGAACTGGCCCTAGTTTCTCGTTTATGGCTGAGTGCAAGAGACCCAGCGATAGAGCCAATGCTGTCAATACTGGAGAATAAATTGCGGTCTTTTATGTACAACATTTTGGGTTTATCAAGCGAACAAGATAAATTATGCAAAAATACACACGCACAGACAGAGAGGGAGAGGACGACAGGAGCTGAGGGATTGCCACTTGTTGAGATTTCACTGCGGGTCTGACTCAATACAATACGTTTACATATATATATATATATATATGATATAACACAATGGAATTATGCCTGATTATGCTCGTGTAATGCCAACCAAAGACTCGTTATTTATTATGAAAATCCGCTGGCTCAGTATTTCATTTAAAAGTTTTGGCGCTGCCGCTGCCGCTTCTTGGCAAATACAATTTGCAATTTCACAATTTTACAACGCCACAAATCTTAAATGCGACTCGAACCTGCCGCAAAGTATGGGCCAGGCCAGGACAGGGGACCCAGGCCAAATGCTGCTCAAAATCTAAGCCATGGCCATGGCCATTTTAATCCCTTTTAAATTGATATTGTAATTGGTTTCTGTGTGTAGTTACGAGCATGAATTTCAATATGTCGGCTCGGCTGACTAGGGCTTTGGCCTATAGTTTCCCCCTGACCTTTCCCGCTCTCTGATGTTTTCTGTTTGTCTTTCACGGCTGTGTATTTTACAGCCATATGAATTATGTGCTTTTTGGTTGGTGTACCTCTCCTTGTTGCCATAGATTATGAAAGACAATTTGTATTTGCTTTTGTGGTGACTACTCGTAGCTCTGCAGGGAGATTTAATGAATAAATCGAGAGGAATGCAGGCCACGTGACTTTAAAACCAAAACTCTAGTCATTTTTTTCGTGTTTAAATAAGCTTTAAAGAAACCTTTTTCAAGAGTATAATTAAGTGACTTTCTCAGGTCAAACGGATCACTTAAAAGTGTCTAAAAGGCGAACTTCTTAAATGTCTTTATGACATTCAAAAAGTTTAATTTACAAACTTCCAACGCCTGCTAATCCCTGCACCGAAACTGCACAAAAACTATCCAAGAACTTAAGAACTCTTAAGACATAAGAACGTCGAACAGCAGCACGCTCCAAGTGCTAAACAATATCATAAAATTTATGAGAAAAGTATCAACTGAAGCTCCACTCCACTTCACCGGCATTAATAAATATTTGAACAGCCACTAAAGATGTCGCTTAAGTAACTACGAGCACGGTAACAGTTTTCAGTGCGACATCTTCACATCTTTACCTTGCCGTGGAACTAACACAAAAGTGACTGACAAAAATCTTTTGATTGCACTTTGGGGACACATTTAAAGGTGTAAATTGTACAGCCTACTACTCGGCTCCTCTCTGCCGGTACCTCTCTCTCTCTGTTGGTCCATCTCTCTCCTGGCCAAACAAAAGCCGAAAGGGACTCTCTATACCTCTATTTTTTTGTTGGGCCACGCACCAGGTTGCCCATTACACGGCATTTGTCCTTATTTACCGTCTGAGGAGAGGGAATATCCCTCCTCTACTTGGTTTATAAAGCACCTGCTTAACCCTTAATGCGGAACCCACAGCAGTCACAAAAAGAAAAGGCCACCAGAGGCAACAGGAAGCTGTGGCAATAAAAGCAAATCCGTATTCAAGGTGCACGAGGCGGCCCGAGGAAATCTTTTGGGAGCCAGAAGCAGGCCGAAACGGAACGGGGACTGAGGACAAAAGCTGCATCGTCGACGGGTTCGAGACGCTGGGACAGCAGATTATGTATTTACAGTTAGATAACTCCCGTTATGGCAAAGTTTAGCCCCAACCCAGCCAACTCCTCTCGCTTTTGTTGTTGTAATAAGGCAACTGCCTAGATGATTGCCGGCAATTGTTGACCATGGCCCAAAGGCTCTTAGACCCACCCATATCCATGTGTGTGTGCGTCTGTGTGTCGTGTCTGTGTGCGGCACAAAACTTAATGCTGAGTCAGGCCTAGCGGGGCGGCCATTTTGTTTATCTGCATAATAAACTCACCTCAAATTATTGGAGCCCGCATTTTGGACACGTTCCTGTCGTCGCCAGGTGAAAAGTCCCCAATGGGACATTGGCCGACTCCAGTCAGACTTCTGACTCCTGACATTACCATTGTTCGGATGCCCAAAGGCAAAGAGTCTTGGAATGGGCAGAGGCCAGGGCAAAACTTCTCAAATTTCGTATTTAAGTGCTTTCAGTAAAGTATTTCTTACAAATTTAGCAAACTATCAAATGACAGATGCGGGAATCAAGCTTAACTCCATTTCGGACTATTGTGAAGAATATTAATCAAAGAAGGAGCCAAAGTGGCGATTAGGCAGCCTAAGTGGGCCAAGAGAGTCCACAAAGAATCACCCTGGGGTGTGTTCCACTTTCATGCTCAGCTTTCCAACTCAACTCTTCAATTTAACGAGGTCTAGGCTACATTATGCAATGCCCCCAAGAAAAAAGTGGGCAACCATTTTGTGTACATTTTCATTGCCGCTCCTCTGTGGCCACAGGCGGAATTTCGGGCTTGCTTAAAAAATTAAAAAAGCCTCTTGTTATATAAGCCTGCACATGACATCTATGTCTGGCTGTCTGTCTGTCTGTCTGCCTGCCTGTTCTGTGGTTCTTTGTTTTTTGGGAATACCCGCCAGGCTGCAGTCAGAAATGTCACAGGCCGCCACGTTGGTGCTTCCTCCCTCTATTCAGCTGGGGGGGGCGAAAATATTATTTAATGCCCTCTGACAGTTGAGTGAAGCAATATCCTTTACATGCATTACATATACATATCAACATATATTTATATGTGTGTTTGTGTATGTGAATGGCACTCATACAGATTGCCATAATGAAGCTGGGATGGCAAAAATCTCTCGTTCACATTCAATATTTAAAATGAGAGAATGGGCGACAGACACTGCGAATGAAAGCCTGCAAATCGTTTGCCATTTTGTGTGAACCGTTTCGATTGTTCAGTATTTATTTTGGAAACGCTTCGAGTTCTTTAATTAAATTGAAAAAAAAAGAGCTAAAACAGATAACCGCTTTGCAGCTGTGAGTCTTTTAATGAACCACGAATACATACATATTTTTATAGATTGCTGTTGTATATCGTTTTTAATTTTGTTTGCTCTTTTTTCCGCGCATTCTCTGCAGCAATTTGAGAGATTGCTTTTCACGCATATTTTTTTGTATTGACTGAAAAATTAGCTCTCAGTTTACCAGTCTGTAAAGCTATCAATTATTTTTGT